AAGAAGATTTGCAATAGAGCGGGGATTTAGGGGGGTAGTACTAGTGCTGGGAGGGATAATTTGGGGGGGAGGGGAAGTTGTGCTGGAAGATTTATATTGGATGGAGTGATGGGGGGGCGGTAATTTGTGCTGGTAAAGGATTAAGTAGGGAGGAGGATTTCTGATGGGGGGATTTGTGCTAGAAGGGGGGATTGGTGGGGTGGAGTGAGGGTCCTAGTGCTAGAACAGGGGAGTCGATTTGTGCTGGGAGGGATAATTTGGGGGGGGGGGGTAAAAATTTGTGCTGGAAGATTTATGTTGGGAGGAGTGATGGGGGGGGGGGCTGTAATTTGTGCTGGTAGAGGATTAGCTTAAGTAGGGAGGAGGATTTTTGATGGGGGAGATTTGTGCTAGAAGGGGGATTGGTGTGCTGGAGTGGGGTCCTAGTACTAGAACAGGGGAGTGGATTTGTGCTGGGAGGGGGGATTCAGGAGGAAAAGAAGATTTGCAATAGAGGGGGGATTTAGGGGGTTGTACTAGTGCAGGGAGGGATAATTGGGGGGGGATTTCTGCAGGAAGATTTATGTGGGGAGGAGTGATGGGGGGGGTTAATTTGTGCTGGTAGAGGACTAAGTAGAGAGGAGGATTTTTGATGGGAGGGGGGGTTTGTGCTAGAAGGGGGGATTGGTGGGGTGGAGTGGGGGTCCTAGTACTAGAACAGGGGAGTGGATTTGTGCTGTGAGGGGGGGGATTCAGGGGGATGGAATAGAAGGGGGATTTAGGGGGGTAGTACTTGTGCTGGGAGGGATAATTTGGGGGGGAATGTGTGCTGGGAAGGCGGCTTAGGGGGAGGTTTCTGCTGGAAAGCAGGAGAGGATTGGTATGGGGGGGGGGAATTGAGGAAGGATTTGTTCTAGAAGGGAGATTTGGGGGGTGGTGCTTGTGCCGGAAGGGATCATTTTTTTGGGGGGGCTGGAAGCTTGTGCTGGGAAGGGAGTTTGGTGGGATTTGAGCTGGGAAGGGGAAGAGGATTTGTGTTGGGAGGTGGGATCTCTTGAGCATGCTCAATGGTTCTTTTTTGTTACAACTGTAGCGAATCCCCTGATGCTGCGGAAGATCGTCCCACCCAGGCCACCATTGTCTAACCACACCCACTTTTTTCATGGCGTGCTACACAGGCCACTATCTTTCTCAAGCGTCCCTCATTCTCAAGTTCTAAGTTGTTTCCCGAGGGAGGAGGCTCGTAACGGGCACAGCGGGTGTACAGACCTGGGAACTCAGCACAGGGATGGTGGGAACCCCTCATAATGGGCAAAGCGGGCGTACAGGGAACTCGGCCCGGGAACTCGGGGCGTACAGGGACGGTGGGAGCCCCTCATAATGGGCACAGCGGGCGTACAGACCCGGCAGCTCGGCACAGGGATGGTGGGAGCCCCTCATAATGGGCACAGCGGGCGTACAGACCCGGGAACTCGGCACAGGGACGGTGGGAGCCCCTCATAATGGGCACAGCGGGGGTAAAGACCCGGGAACTCGGCACAGGGATGGTGGGAACCTCTCATAATGGGCACAGCGAGCGTACAGACCCGGGAACTCGGCACGGGGACGGTGGGAACCCCTCATAATGGGCACAGGGTGTGTACAGACCCGGGAACTCGGCACAGGGACGGTGGGAACCCGTCATAATGGGCACAGCGGGCGTACAGACCCAGAAGTTCTATTATGAGATCTTACCAACAGAGTCCCTGAGATACAGAAGGTAGGGGAGATCTCCAACACTTCCCAAATATGAGGCCTCCATAGTGATGATAGAAATCTGAGGACGGAGTGTTGTGAAGTGCAGAGCATTCATGTTTATTTCAGAAAATCAGAATGAGTAACAAACAATAAAGACTTGGCTAGAGTCCCCATCAAGTCCCATATCACTGCAGAACATGGTGGCCTGGTCCTTCTAGTGTGACCCTTCCATTGACAGCTCTCCTTCATCCCTCTCAAGTCTTAGGCCAGAGGTTGACTTCAGCTTCCATGAGGCTCAGGAGACTTCCTCAGCCACCTTCGTCTTCTCACCAGCACTCCAACCCCCCGGACCTGGTGACTTTGTTGTCCATTTCCCTGCGAAGGTCGGCTCCCGGGAGGAAAGTGGATCACCTGATCATCCTCCCTCCGGGACCTAAACGGGGCGAAGTGGCAACCCTAGGACTATGTCCACCTGGGTATGGAAAGTTATGGCTCCGGCCTACAAGGATCAAGGTCTGGCTTCTACTGAGGTGGTGCGGGCACATTAGCCAAGATGGCGGCATACGCCAAACTTCCACTGGAAGACATTCCTGAAACAGCCAGGTGGAGTTCTTGTCCAAACCTTCACTGGCCACCAAAGCCTGGACTTTCCTAATCCACCAAATTCATAAGTCAGTCATTGATGAAAGTAGATCTTCTGTACCGTACGGCATGGTTTTTCGAGTCGGAGTTCCGTTCTTCTCGCCCGCGCTTTTCTTTTGTTACTTAGTTCCCATCGTGTGCCAACGTGAGGTGGGCTAGGAATGCCGAAAATTCTTCTCATATACATACCACAAATTTCCCTTTCCTGGGCTATCCTCAGGGCAGCACAATGAGTCTCTTCCACTCCCTGGTGATCTGCCGACACCTAGTTGTGGAACACCTGGAGGCCAAAGGGAGGGCCTTTTATTCCAAGCCAGGGCTCAACAAATCTCAGGCACCAGGTCACCCAGGCTACACTGGCTGCTTGTCTGGATTCAGTCTGCCCATGTGGTCCCCCCCGGGGGTGCTCAGCCCAAAAGGTTGAGGTACATGAGACCACCACTTTGAGGCCTGCTGGAGCGGGATACAGCACTCACCATTTTGTTTGTGGGCAATGACATGCCCAGGAAATAGCGCCCTCCTCTGGTGGGCGAGGCTGTGATGAGTAGTCACCGATGTCTCACTGCCCCCCTCCCGAGACACTTCCCCCTCTTGTCCCACTGCCCCCCCCCCCCCGAGACTTTCCCCTCGTCCCACTGCCCCCCTCCCGAGACACTTCCCCCTCCTGTCCCACTGCCCCCCTCCCGAGACACTTCCCCCTGTTGTCCCACTGCCCCCTCCTGTCCCACTGCCCCCCTCCCGAGACACTTCCCCCTCTTGTCCCACTGCACTGCCCCCCTCCCGAGACACTTCCCCCTCTTGTCCCACTGCCCCCCTCCCGAGACACTTCCCCCTCTGGTCTCGCTGCTCCCCCCAACTTTCCCACTGCCCCCCTCCCGAGACACTTCCCCCTCTGCTCTCGCTGCCACCCTCCTGTCCCAATGCCCCCCTCCCGAGAAACTTCCCCCTCTGGTCTCGCTGCCCCCCACCTGTCCCACTGCCCCCCTCCCGAGACACTTCCCCCTCCTGTCCCACTGCCACCCTCCTGTCCCACTGTCCCCCTCCCGAGACACTTCCCCCTGTTGTCCCACTGCCCCCCCTCCTGTCCCACTGCCCCCTTCCCGAGACACTTCCCCCTCTTGTCCCACTGCCCCCCTCCTGAGACACTTCCCCCTCTGGTCTTGCTGCCCCCCACCTGTCCCACTGCCCCCCTCCCGAGACACTTCCCCCTCTGGTCTCGCTGCCCCCCTCCTGTCCCAATGCCCCCCTCCCGAAACACTTCCCCCTCTGGTCTCGCTGCCCCCCACCTGTCCCAATGCCCCCCTCCCGAGACACTTTCCCCTCCTGTCCCAATGCCCCCCCCCTCCCGAGACACTTTCCCCTCCTGTCCCAATGCCCCCCTCCTGAGACACTTCCCCCTCTGGTCTCGCTGCCCCCCCCTACCTGTCCCAATGCCCCCCTCCTGAGACACTTCCCCCTCTTGTCGTCCCCCCCCCCCCCTAGCTTTTTTTGGAGGATTAACCCATTGTGTGCTGACGTGAGGATAGTCCGAGAAAGGACAATGACAGTAAGTATATGATAACAATTTCCCGCACTCTGAACATGAATGAGGAAGCTCACCTGGTTGACATCTCTGATGTATAAGATTTCATTTCTCAATAAAACATTTCCCGCACTCACCCGTGTGATTTCTTTGGAGTGTAAGATTGCTTCCTCTCCCTCAGTGAAACATTTCCCACACTGTGCACATAAATAGGGACGCCCACCTGTGTGAATTCTCTTGTGTGTAAGGCCTATTTTCTCAGTGAAACATTTCCCGCACACTGAACATAAAAGGGACATTCACCTGTGTGATTTCTCTGGTGTGCACAGAGTTATCTATTCTTAAAGAAATATTTCCCACCTTCTGAACATGATTAGGGGTGCTCACCTGTACGAATGTTCTGATGTTTAAGAAGGTTTCCTTTCTGAATAAAACATTTCTCACACTATGAATAGGGACTCTTACCCATGTGAATTCTCTGATGTTTAAGAATTTATCTGTTAAGCATTTCCCACACTCTGAACATGAATAGAGGTGCTAATCTGTGTGATTTCTCTGATGTCCAAAAAGGTTTTTTTCTCAGTAAACATTTTCCGCACTCTGACTATGAATAGGGAAGCTCACCCTGTGTGACTTATCTGGTGTTGAAGAAGGTTTCCTTTCTAAATTAAACATCTCCCACACTCTGAACCTTAATAGGGACGTTCACGTTTGTGAATACTCTGGTGTCTAAGAAGGCTTCCTTTCTGATTGAAACATTTCCCACACTTTGAACATGAATAAGGCCGCTCACCTGTGTGACATCTCTGGTGTCTAATAAGACTACTTTTCTCAGTAAAACATTTCCCGCACTCTGAACATGAATAGGGACGTTCACCTGTGTAAATTATCTGGAGTTCTCCTTTCTTAAAAACACATTTCTCAAGTTTTGAACACGAATAGAGACTCTCACTTGTGTGAATTTTCTGATGTTTAAGAAGGTCTCTGTTCTGTATGAAGCATTTCCCGCACTCTGAACATGAATAGAGACGCTCACCTGTGTGAATTTTTTGGTGCTGAAGAAGGTTTCCTATCTGATTGAAACATCTCCCGCACTCTGAACATGAATAGGGACGCTCACCTGTGTGAATTCTTTGATGTGTAAGAAGGTTTCCTTTCTGAAAGAAACATTTCCCACACTCTGAACATGAATAGGGAAGCTCCCCTGTGTGAATTCTTTGATGTTTAAGAAGGTCACTGTTCTGAAAGAAGCATTTCCCGCACTCTGAACATGAATAAGGGCGCACATTTGTGTGACTTCTCTGGTGTTGCAGGAGGTTTTTTTTCTCAATGAAACATTTTCCGCACTCTGAACAAGAATAGGGACGCTCACCTGTGTGAGTTTTTTGGTGTTGAAGAAGGGTCCCTTTTTGAATGAAACATCTCCCGCACTCTAAACATGAATAAGGACGCTCACCTGTGTGAGTTTTCTGGTGTTGAAGAAGGGTCCCTTTCTGAATGAAACATCTCTGGCACTCTAAGCATGAATAGGGACGCTCACCTGTGTGAATTCTCTGGTGTCTAAGAAGGTTTCTTTTCTGATTGAAACATTTCCCACACTCTGGGCATGAATAGGGTTGCTCACCCGTGTGGATACTTTGATGTTTAAGAAGGTTTCTTTTCTGGGTGAAACATTTCCCGCACTCTGAGCAGGAATAGGGACGCTCACCCGTGTGACTTTTCTTGTGTCTAAGAAGTGCTCTGTTTTCGGTGTAAGATTTCCCAAACTCTGAACATGACAAAGAACTCTCTTCTGGTGGAACTCCTTCATTGCTCACAGAAGATTCCCTGGGAATAGATGGATCTATGAAGGTACCTGTACTGTAAAATCCAAGAATCCTGGTGTGTGATCCATCAGAAGATTCCATGGGAATAGATGGATCTATGAAGGTATCTGTACCGTGAGATCCCAGAGTCTTGGTACGTGATCCATCAGAAGATTCCCTGGGAATAGATGGATCTATGAAGGTATCTGTACCGTGAGATCCCAGAGTCTTGGTGTGTGATCCATCAGAAGATTCCCTGGCAATAGATGGATCTATGAAGGTATCTGTACCGTAAGACCCCAGAGTCTTGGTGTGTGATCCATCAGAAGATTCCCTGGGAATAGATGGATCTATGAAGGTATCTGTACCGTGAGATCCCAGAGTCTTGGTGTGTGGTCCATCAGAAGATTCCCTGGGAATAGATGGATCTATGAAGGTATCTGTACCGTCAAATCCCAGAGTCTTGGTGTGTGGTCCATCAGAAGATTCCCTGGGAATAGATGGATCTATGAAGGTATCTGTACCGTGAGATCCCAGAGTCTTGGTGTGTGGTCCATCAGAAGATTCCCTGGGAATAGATGGATCTATGAAGGTATCTGTACCGTGAGACCCCAGAGTCTTGGTGTGTGATCCATCAGAAGATTCCCTGGGAATAGATGGATCTATGAAGGTATCTGTACTGTGTGATCCCAGAGTCTTGGTGTGTGGTCCATAAGAAGGTTCCCTGGCAATAGATGGATCTATGAAGGTATCTGTAATATGAGATCCCAGAATCTTGGTGTGTGATCCATCAGAAGATTCCCTGGGAATAGATGGATCTATGAAGGTATCAGTACTGTGAGATCCCAGAATCTTGGTATGTGATCCATCAGAAGATTCCCTGGGATTAGATGGATCTATGAAGGTATCTGTAATGTGGGATATTGAAGTCCCAGAATGGGATTTATCTGAAGATTCCTCGGGATTAGAGGGCTCCATTGACCTCCGCAATTGGTAAGGTCTGGGATGTATATATTTGGAGTCACAGGATTCTCTCCTGGAGAACATTGTACAATGGTATTATCTTCTGGAGATACAATGAGATGTTCCTCAGAGGTCTCCCGGACATAGCTTCCAGCTGTGGAAAAACAATGTTACAATAAAGGTTATAAGGATTTTCCACACCTTGCCTTCAGGAGTCATGTATGTTGGGCAGGGCTGGTGCTTCCACTAGGAAAACTAGGCAGCTGCCTAGGGGCCCTAGAAGTAAAATGTGAATTGTTTCTGTATTTTGTGTTTATGACTTACTTGTGTCCATATGTAGAGAAGATTCCTCCGGTTTACTTCTCATAATCCTCTCCCCCTCCTCCATAGACTGCTGATCTGCACTCACCAACGTCTCTTCTTCTTCCTCTTTGACCTCAACTTTGATGTCTTCCAGTTCTTCACCCTAAACCCCAAAGATGATAGAATACTTGATAGATTGTAAGCTCCATGTGCCGGGCCCTCCTATTCCTTCTGTACTAAAACTCTGTACAAACTGTTGGCGCCATAAATCCTGTATAATAATAATAATAATAATAATAATAATAATAAAAAGAAGCCAGTAGTTACATAGAAGAATACAATCTCATAGCTTAAAATTCTTTTTGAGATCTAGTTCCTCAGTTCTATCTACCTGATGATGGTGAGGGATGGTGTGACCTTCCTGTGTGGAATACAGAGGTCCACCCTCCTCCATAGACTGCTGAGCTCCACTCATCAACATCTCTTCTTCCTCTTTGATCTCAACTTTGATGTCTTTTAGTTCTTCATTCTAAACTCCAAAGATGATAAAAAAAATTTGTAAAAAGGAACAAGAGATGGAATACAAGAATGTCATCTCATGGGTTAGAATTCTGTTTGAGTTCAAGTTGCTCAGTCCCATCTACCTGATGATGGTTGGGGATGGTGTGATCTGTGGAATCCCGGGAATACAGAGGACGGGGATATCTCTCTGGTGGGTTCCCATGACTGGATCCATCTACCTGATGATGGTGAGGGATAGTGTGACCTTCCTGTGTGGAATCCCGGGAATACAGATGACGGGGACATCTCTCTGGTTGGTTCCCATTACTGGATCCATCTGTAGGAAACACACACACTGACTGAATCCATTGTTTCTATGTGTTTATCAGATGATGGGGGATCTAGGTGGACCCTCCGTACTGCTCTCTCCTTTACAATAAAGTCTCCTCTTACCCGGTGATGTGAGGGGCGGCTGATTGTCCATCATGACGTCCTTGTAGAGGTCCTTGTGTCCTTCTAAATACTCCCACTCCTCCATGGAGAAATAGACAGTGACATCCTGACACCTTATAGGAACCTGACACACACAATGATACAGTCACCATCCAGACACATCCCTTGTCTGTTACTGGAGAATGTCCCAGAATTCCCGGCACCGCTCACCTCTCCTCTCAGCAGATCAATGATCTTCTGGGTGACTTCCAGAATCTTCTTGGCACTGGTTCCCTCTGTTGTCAGGCAGTGAGGTGGAGGCCCTGTGTGATGGGTGATGTCCTGTGAAGAAAAACCGGAGGCTCTGGATGGACAGTTAGATAAATGGCTCTATATTTAGGACGTATCCGGTCTATAAACCAGAGGCTCTGGATGGACGGTTGGATAAATGGTTCTATATTTAGGACGTATCCGGTCTATAAACCAGAGGCTCTGGATGGACGGTTGGATAAATGGCTCTATATTTAGAACGTATCCGGTCTATAAACCAGAGGCTCTGGATGGACGGTTTGGATAAATGGTTCTATATTTAGGATGTATCCGGTCTATAAACCAGAGGCTCCGGATGGACGGTTGGATAAATGGTTCTATATTTAGGACATATCCGGCCTATAAACCATGCAATACATCACTGTGACTATAGAGGAAGAGGACGGACATGACTATGGAGGAAGAGGATAGACATGACGGAGGGGGGGTTACTGGGTGTAAATATAAAATAATATCCTTTTACCTTATCCTCTGCCAGTTGTCGTAATATCTCCCTCTACTTAATCCTACAAGTTTTTGTTTTTTTTAATGGGAACTTCCTGTCTGCAGATGACATCACTTCCTGTCTGTACCCGCTATGGCTTCCCATTTCTGCATCCCTGCAGCCTGTGTTTCGTAAATACTTTGACAGATTCAGAGTTGTCACCTCATCCCTTTAAACCCGAACACATACTAATGACCCGGGTTCTGTGGCTGATTATGGTGGTCATTACACTCACTTAGAACCTTCTTTGCATTAAATTCGGATGAGGAATGAGGTGACAACCCTCTCCAGTACTGTACGTTCTTCCTAATATCACATGCAATGAAAATGTTTGACAACAAAAAAAATAATAAAAAAATAAAAAAAAAACTGCGTATTAAAAAATCAGAATACATAAATTGATGAATTAAAAATTAAGATGCAACATTGTTTTGCAAATACTCTAGCCTTAAATTATGCCATAGAAACAGTTTAGAGGACGACGAGGATTTGGGATCTCAGGAGAGGTAGGCTGCAGAGGGAAATGTGGATGAAGGCTCGGATGTTTATGAGGCTTCAGCTTTGGCCAGCTCCCTCTCGGGTGTGTGGGTTCCTCTCTATCCTTTCACTGTCTGTATGTAGGCAGTGAGAGGTAGGTTGCAGAGGGAAATGTGGATGAAGGCTCGAAAGTTTACGAGGCTTCAGCTTTCGCCTGCTCCCTCTCGGGTGAATGGTAGTGAATGGTGGCTGACCCAACCCAGGGGAAGGGCTTAAATTGTCTTTTATCCCGGGCTTTTGGGACTCAGCCTACCCACTCCGTGCAACTAATATAAGGCCAGGTAACGAGGCTCCTCTGCTTCTTTTTGCACTCCAATTTTCTATGAAGTGGGGAACCACGGTCCTGAGGAAGGATGTAACACCGTTCTACAAAGGGGGACTGCTGGGCCGTGCACTCCTCCCGAAGACACCAGCTTTCCGAAGACTGCCAAGCTATAGACTTCCACCAATACTGGACTATCACCCGACTTAGGTATGCCTGGGCAGCCACTTACCAATATAGACAGTCAGGGATGAGACTGATAGACTGTGTTGTACTTTGCGCTGTTATGCTCCAGAACTTCCAGTAAAACATGTTAAACTGATTTGAAGGTCTGAAGTTACAGAAGGATGCATGAAGGTCCATTGGGCAGCTACACACACTTGGGTCACATCCGGGGTATGAAGCAAGTCAATCACGAGAGGTTTACTTGGCAGAGGAGTGGAGGAAGTATGCGGTTGTCACAGGTAACCAAAGCACCTGGGGAAGGCGACATGTCCTCCACTAGCGAGGGGGTCAATGATTGAAGTTCCTTTCTAGTGGTCAGTTTCCCTAAGCAAATGGGAACAACTTGCGTTATGGAGACCCTCAAGCTACGGGAAAAAGGAGTTAAACAAGTGCACGAATAAACTCTGCTCTAGGAGCACGGCGGGACCCCCATTCAGATACTGGGAGTGAGGTGGCAAAGGTACGATGGATGGGTGGGAAGGGTATACCCACATAAGGGGGGAAGGTCAGGTATCGAGGCTCCTCTGCTTCTTTTTGCCCTCCGCT